GTGGATTTATACAAACCGACTATTAATATGCTTGCAAAATATTCCTAATTTATCCACCATTTGCAAATGTGGTCTCGACATGTCGGTGACATCTGCTTTGAAAAATGATCTTTTTAGTATCTTTTCATGTTGGCGTGGATTTATCCAAACCGACTATTAATATGTTTGCAAAATATTCCTAATTTATCCACCATGTGTAAATGTGGTCTCGACATGTCGGTGACATCTGCTTTGAAAAATGATCTATTTAGTATCTTTTCATGTTGGGGCGTGGATTTATCCAAACCCACTATTAATATGTTTGCAAAATATTTCTAATTTATCCACCATGTGCAAATGTGGTCTCGACATGTCGGTGACATCTGCTTTGAAAAATGACCTTTTTAGTATCTTTTCATGTTGGCGTGGATTTATCCAAACCGACTATTAATATGCTTGCAAAATATTCCTAATTTATCCACGATGTGCAAATGTGGTCTCGACATGTCGGTGATATCTGCTTTGAAAAATGACCTTTTTAGTATCTTTTCATATTGGCGTAGATTTATCCAAACCAACTATTAATATGTTTTCAAAATATTCCTAATTTATCCACCCTGTGCAAATGTGGTCTCGACATGTCCGTGAATGTGCTTTGAAAATTGACCTATTTAGTGTCTTTTCATGTTGGTATGGATTTATCCAAACCAACTATTGATATCTTCTTTAGTTTTATCACACTCAAACCTATTGAAAATATTGATCTTTTTTGCCTTTTTTTGCCACACGTAATAGTTTTTGGCAAAATTACACCAAAATGTTAACTTTTAGCATAGGATATTATGAGATTTTACATTTGTGGACATTTTTCTCGTATGAGGTGTATTTGTCCATTTTTTTAAGTAAAAAGAATATCACACTTTGCTCTGGAACGTGTTATACACAATATGCAATATATCCTGTATACATATACACTATTTACACGACAGATATAAAGTGTATATTCTGCAATATCAGGGCATGCTCGAAACATTGAGGGTTATTCTATATCTTTCATGTAATAAAGCTTCAAAAGCTCAAGACATAACCCAGCTACTTCGCCATTCGCATAAATTGCGCGCAGCATTGCTTACGCATCATGTGACCAACCAGTTATTGCGGGAGGAATTTGCATAGCAACCGACCACCGTGTTAACCCTATTTGTACCGGGGCTTTTTCATGTTGACATGACCGGGGTGCGCTGATAGGGCGCACTCCTCAGAAATTCTGTCGATTAACTGCCATTATCCTATAAGTTTTATTTTTAGTAAATTTTATCTTTCTTCAACCTAAAAATAACAAAAAAGTTAAATTCGCATCCAAAATGCTGTTTTTGGCCCCATTGAAAAGGACCGCCTATCCAAAAATGGCGAATATAGCTAATATCTTACCCAGTGATATTTTTTTAATCTTTTACATTCAAAAGACATACTTTTATGTTGTAGCGTATCTCGGATGTCCATAAACACTATTTTACTTTCCAAGTTGGCATTTCTGTGCCATATGAAAACACATACAACTGAAACTTATCTGTCTCTCATATAAACTATCCAAATCATTTTCAAGTTTCAACATCACTGATTTACCTTCATATCACTGTGACAGTGTCATTATTGTAATAATTTTCCATAAATCGCCTAGTATTCCCAATTGTGCATTTTGTTGAAACTCTAGCACTTTTTGTTGGCATAACTTCTTTAGTGTAAACATAAAACCAGGGGCGTAGGAACCGGGGGGGGGCAGGGGGGGGCAGGCCCCCCAATTTTTGGAAACTGCCCTTTTTCCGGGAGCAAAGTTCCCTTTTTCGCCTGAAAATTTTTCATTAAAATTGTATTTTTAGCTAAAATTTTAAAATTGCACTTTTGAAAACTTCAATGTACGTTATTTCCTGAAAAATGTTTCAATTTCCGGAAAAAATATCATATATCCGAAAAATTTTTTTGTATTCCGGAGAATTTTTTCTCGTATTTAGGAAAAAAATGTGGTATATGGAAAAAATTTTTTATCATATGTCCGGAAAAATTTTTTTGACCCCTAAAATGGTACACTGACCGAAAATTTTTTGGCGACGGGGGGGGAGGGAGGTCGCCAAAAACAATTTTTAGATGCCTTTTTTTTCGAAAAGTGCCCTTCAAAGCCTGCCCCCCCCAACTTTTCGAAGGTTCCTACGCCCCTGCTGATAAAACGTTACACTGAAGTCGACCAACAAAAGTTTGTAGAAAAAATACGAAATGGCAGCCAAGTTTTATACCAATATACTATGTGTTACATGAAGTGTAAGACAGGTGAGCCACGAGCCTGCAGTATAGTTTTGAAAACACAATATTTACTTTGAAAATCATAGAAATCAGTCTAAACTTATACTCTCAATTGGAAAATTTCTATATAAAAGTTATACTCTCAATTGGAAAATTTCTTGTACGAAAGTGTTCAATATATAATGCATCCTACACGTTTGGTGCTTGCTGAAAGACAGGGAGATGTTATGCCTTGAACGTACGAAGAAAGATGTATATTTGAATATATAAAAATATTATAAATAAGTATTTTATATTATATAAGTATTGTATAGTATGCTATATTATATGTTATACTATATATTTCATTATTTTATATAATATATTATGGATATTTTACTTTGCAAATCATGTGTAATAATCCATCTTTATATGTTCTCTAATTATATTATGTTATTTATGTCCTGGGAAGTGATTCAGCCAAAAAATACTGTCCAACCCACATTTTTCCATTTTTGGCCCCGACACCTTGTTTCACAAATGTCGGCAAACGTCCGGATAACGATGAATTTTCAGAAAATCTTTTTTTGCAGTCATAACGGCAGAGGAAAAATATTAAAAGTCATGAAAGCACAGGCAAATGGGGTCATTAGTTCAGGAATGATAGATAAATATTTATAGGGGTACAATAGTGTTAAGATAAAAACACATGCCAAAATCTCAATCAATGATCTATTAACATATTCCAACTTTGAAAAATATGACATGGTCAAAGAATAATGCAGATTGATAAGGATAAGCTTCGGATGTCAATTTTTCGGCACTAAAGTGGTCAATAAAATGGCGCAATACAAAACAATCAAAACATTTTAGCGCGTAGAGCGTCACAGTTGACTGTGATTCTTTATGGTACTTCATGGTGAAATCGCATCTCGAAAAGTGAAAAAACGCCATTTTCAAGTTTTATTGCTTTCCCTTCCATCTTGCGACCTGGTTGTTGTAACAAGACTTGTAATAGCTCACAAGATGTGTCAGAAGACGGGGAATCGTTTGATATATTACTCGTCGTTCTGTTGTTAGTATTTCTAACAAAATAGTAATTTTCCTGCAACATTTCTGTTCTTTTATCTTGGAAGCTATCTTGGATTTATTCCAAATTGCTTTTACTTACATCTTTCGACTTGGTTGTCCTGACAAGACGTGTAATAGCTCAAATTTTTCATAGCGCCAGGAGACGGGGAATCGTTTGATATATTACATGTCGTTTTATCGTTAGTATCTATAAAAAATAGTAATTTTACGAAATCTAACGTTGCTTTAATATTAATTTAACCTTTTTGGCTTTTTTTTTTAAACTTTGATATATATTTACAATGGCAGGCATTAAATGTCACTACCTTTTTTTTGGCGGGCCTCTTTCCTTCGTATTGTTTTAAATTTGTCCCTGAGCTGCTGCCTGGTAAATTGCTCCTGAATAAAATGATCCCGGCAGACTTCATTGTTAATGATGGATGATACAACGGCTTTAGCTTCTGCGTTGTTCGGCAGGGACGCGGTTGCATTTTGTATTAGGTTAGTCTGCAGCTGGGTGAAACACCGCACTGAATCCGTTGTTGTGGTGCTGCTTGCAACATAACAATTTATCTTATTGCCACTTGAGCACACCCATGTCTGTGCCTTGTCTATCCCAGATAGCTCAGTTGACGTCTTCTTTGAGATATACTGCATGGCTGCGTCGGTGTCGACATTACGTAAAATCTGGTTTCTGGCCATTCTTGTCTGCACAATGTGCCTCATGACTGTTGTGCCACTGTTCATTGTGCTTTCGAAGAGCTTCAGCAACTCGAACTTCTCCAGACGAGAGAGCTGTTCGTCGACGGGTGGCTCTGACACAACAGATGTCGCCACTTGTTCTGGTTTGTGATGTTCAGATTCCTCTGGTTCCTTTGCCTCTCGGTCTTCTCCCTCCTCCTCCTCGTCCGGTTCCTCCCCCTTGTTGTTTGGTTCCTTCTTTTCGTTGTCCGGTTCGTCCTCTTCGTCTATTTCCTCCTCTTTGTCTGTTTCTTCCTCTTCGTAGGTTTCCTTGGCCAACACCTCAACATGTGGTGGATCATTTCCAGTGGTAAGGCGCTCGATAAACTCGGCCACCCTGCCATCTGCCTCGAGTTTATCTTGAATATGGTAGTGCTTATGTGCCGTCGCCACAGAGTGGCCCATTTGCTTCGCTAGTTGTTTGTTAGAGACTGCAGCATGAGTTTCCTCACGCTGCAGGCTGACTATACCTTTCCTTAATCTTGAGCCCTTTAAGGAACCTTTCAGTTGAGGTGCCACCTTCTTTCCCATTTCTGCAATACGATGGCTGACCTTCGACTCGTTGAGAGGATTACCATTTGATGTTATAAACACGAGCGGCGTCTCTGGTATCCCGGCCGCTGCTGGTGCCACAGAATTTTTATTGGCATATATTGGACGCAACTTCGACATGTATATATCTCCGAAGGCCTTCAACTCCTCGTCCCAAAGCAACTTTGCAGGGCCGCTGAATGATGTCTTGTGGCGAAGGGTGCGAGTCACATACAGGGGCATTCCATTTTTTTCTGCCCACACCCCATCTTTAAATTCCTTGACCGTGAGGTTGGAAACTGCTCCGTATCTCTGCCCGCTAGCCATGATGACCCTGAGCAGTAGATAGTCCCTCAAGTTCGAGAATTGTTGCATGTCTACTACAGCTTTGGGTTTCAGTGCCAGGGCCTCGAATGCTTGAGTGATTTCTTTTGCCTTCGGACTGCTGACAAAAGACTGGAAGTCCGCTTTCGTCAGCCTCTCTTCCACATCCCGCTTCCTGATGACCGCCCGTCTTTGGTTCGATGCGTCACTGAATGCTTTGGGCCAGGTGTCAAGCCTCATAATGGCAGAATTTACGAGGCGGATGTCGTCTTCCATCAGGGAATCTATCATCCGTATATCCTCCTGTCTTGCAATCACGAAGCGGAGGAACAGTCGGAATGAGCCGATGTAAGCTTTCAGGGTCTGAGGTTGCCGCTTTTCTTTCCCGAGAAGATCATTGCCCCGGAAGAAGTTGTTTCGCAATATATTCATCTTTCTGTTATCCCAGAGCTGTTGCACGCAACGTTTAGCAGGCTCCTCGATCTCGAACAGGAGGCGACAAACTCTTCTCGTGTGGTCTTTCGAAACCGCCGCTTTCCTCGACCCACCCTCAAAGTCCTTGAGATGGTGTAAGAACAATCTTAGTATCGGCAGGCTCTCGATTTCCTTGATGGTTGCAAGATTGGGATCAGCTTTTGGTCTTCTTGGCTGTGCGAGTAGCGCACCCAGCGGAGATTCGTAAATGTTTGGTTCGGACAATGCCTTGGAAAGGTTTTTATCATGGAGGGAAAGGTCAGCGTTAGTCATCTTGGATGTCTTCTTCTTCTTCGTTTTTTTGGCAGCGAGATTATCAGCGTGCCTCATCTTGGCACGTGCCAGTGTGATCTCTTTGTTGTACCTGACAAAAAGTGGAAGGAATGAGTATTTTGCAGGGAATGAGTGTTTTGGGTTTGGGTGATTTAGTTTTGTATGGCAACAAAAAAAATAAATTTTCAATCAGCTAACCTGTGGTATTCAGGGTCTTCCTTGTTAATGTGATGTGTTTTGCGAAGGTGGATATCCACCCTCGTAATCAACTTGTCGCAGCCATCAAATGGACAGGGCAGTGGCGTCCTCTTTTGCACCACTCCTTTCTTTACCGCACGGCAGGTACCCGAGATGGCTTTCGCCTCATCCCTTGTCTTGCCATGTACGGTCATGAGATGTGCAGTGAGGTACTTGTATGTCTTTTCGCACAAAGGACATGGGCGTTGTCTTCTCTCCACCTATGTAAAAAAAGGCTGTGTGTAAATAACGATCTTCTGGTGTCAGCTCCGATTGCGAGTGGGCTAAAAAATATTTACATATAAGGTTAGAAGTAGAAACCTTCTTCTTGGTGTCCTCCTCGTCTTCCTCCACCCGCTGTTTCTTTCCTGATGTATCTTTACATGACGCTCGTTTTCTCTAGAAAGATTAAAAACACATCAGGACAATTTTTCCAATTATATATCATGGTTTCGCTTGCTAATACCATAGAAGTATGATTGATTTTACTTGTTGCCGTGAACGAACAAAATGTAGTCAAAATATTTCATAATACCTTTTCCCCCAGGGACATCTCCGTCGGTGGAATTATATCACTGTTGGGCTCAGAGAAGAGCAGTGGAGTTGAGGGAAGCGGCGACTGTGTGGCACGTTGAGAAGGCAAGTACTTTTTAAGTGAGACATCCTTCATAGTAAAATATTAAAAAACCACATTATTTTGGGTTACTGGATTATCCACGGATTCGCAAATGAGCACATGTAACTAACCTTGTGTAGCTGCATGTCGAACAGCTCTTCCTGAGCTTTGTTGTATTCCAGCTTGTAAAATCCCATGTACACCTTGATGAGAGTCTCTGGGAAGAGGACCTTAATAATAGCATATATCTCAGACTATGGTCTTGACATCATAAGGAACTAGCTATTCTAATTAATATTTACAATTTATTTACCCTAAGGATTAAATTAATTCTTTTCTCATCCTTTTTGTTCTCCAAGAACATGTCGCACAATGCTGAGTAGATCACATCATGCTGATCGTCAGTAAAATGGCCCATTGGGCAGTTGTAGTCCAGGTCTGTTCGACCTTTGTTTCGCCCGGTGGTGAATTGTTGTGCACGTTCACGGGGACCTTCTCCATCAATGATTTGGCGGAGGTAGGGAGCCAAATCTCTCACCAACTGGTCTAACTCCTGCAACTGTATATCACCAACATCCACATCAAACATGTTGATATGAACTATATAGAAAAGTTATGAACTATTTGTAAAAAAAACTAAAAAAAAACAATAAGACGCAATGGTGCCACCTTAACTTAATCTTATAGTGACGTACACATACGGAAAATTTGCATATATATGTTACCAATATACGTACCAATATTAAAAGGATTTCATTGAAACGTTACGGAGATATTTAAGAGGATATTTTTTGTATGTTACGTAACACGCGCTCAAAACTAATGAGTGTAATATACCACTTGCTCTTATGACTACATATCCAAAAATTTTTATTTTTCAAAACGTTTCTCAATCGGCAAACAAACTTAAAAAGAGTGTTTGGTCCTTTTTCTGTAAAATAATACCAAAGTGAAGAGATTTTAGATGGTATGCCATTACGCCAAAGAGATGATGTCTGAAGTTCAGATGTCAAAATGATGTCTGAAGTTCAGCAAGTTTGGCTTATACTTGCTGTAAATATGGCGTCACTTTTAAAGCGTTATTGACAATTGTATTTTATTTGACAATTTTTTTTGTAATATTATACCTCAAATTCAAATTGTCCAATGAAAAAACAGCATTTGTACCACGTGGTAGTGTGATTTTTTACGGTATTTCACTCAAATTCATGATTTCGCAATCCAGCCTGGGATACTATAATATCCCACGGCAGATCCACCCTGGGATATTATAGTATCCCACGCTCACGCGCGACGCGTGGACACCACGCTCAGAATCCCCTCGCTCTCATTAGATATGGTGCACAACTGTTTGCGAAAATTGAAACGCACAACATCAGGTCCTGATGACATACCATACTGGTTTTGGAAGACATATGCAGAGATATTGACTCCTGTTATAACGAGAATATTTAATACTTCTCTGAAGAGTGGCAAGATTCCGAATGTTTGCAAACGAGCTAATGTGATACCCAGCCCAAAAGAAAACTCAATTAATTCATATTTCCCAACTTACGCCTATCTCATTAACAGATATCATTATGCGCCTATTTGAGAAGTGTGTGTATCAAAGTGAAGTCGTTGATACAGTGTATAATTATATTGGGGATGATCAATTTGCATATAAAAAGGGACATAATTCTACCATGGCCCTAATAAAATATCAACATATGTGGTTAAAAAGCCTTGATGAAGGTGCTAAATCTGTTAGAGTAATCTCATTTGACTTCAGTAAAGCATTTGATAGTGTCCCACACGATAAGAAAATACCCATTAATCCATATATCATAAACTGGATGATCGACTTTTTGAACAACCGCAGACAGAGAAGAGAGTGAAAGTTGATGGTGTCACAACTGAATTTCTAGACATTAATCGTGGCGTACCCCAGGGTACTGTGCTTGGGCCTATAATGTTTACTATAATGGTCAATGATATCAAGGCGGTGAGTCTCTCCAATGATTTATCCAAATTTGCTGATGATATTGCAATAATAGCACCAGTTTATGATTACGAAGATTCAGCTGGGGATGAAGTAGAAAATATGAAGCTATGGTCAAACGAGAATAGAATGTCTTTAAACATGGAGAAAACCTATGAAATGATAGTTCGCGGAAAAGTGTCTACTCCCCTTCCGGATCACATCCCATCCATAAAACGGAAAGAATGGCTCAAATTATTGGGTGTCACGATGGAAGCCATACCTGGTAAATGGGATAAACATTTCGAAGAGATGATGAAAAAGCTAGTAGAAGAATGTATATTCTAAGGGTTTGTAAACACTACGGGCTCTCTACACATCAATTGGATCTTCTCTTCAATAGTCTCATAGTCTCTCTTTTCACCTTTGCAGTCGAAGTTTGGGGTGAAGCATCGTACAACAAATACGTAAGTCAAATTGATAAGTTTGTCAATCGTGCCTATAGAAATGGTTATACAAGCAACAGATCAGATTTTAAAGCAACAATATCGAACAGAGACAAGAAATTATGGTCAAGAATTATAAATGATGATAAGAATGCCTTACGCAATCTTTTACCTAGTAAGTTAAATCGACCTTTACGACGGAGAGGTCATGACTTTGAACTACCAATTGTTAAAACTGAGAGGTTCAAAAACGCGTTTATAAATAGCTGTCTTTTCAATTTTATATAAACTATATATCTATATTCTTATACCTTAGAATTTTAAAGTACTAAAAATTGATGTAAATAACAGTAAGAATCAAATTTTTTATTCTTAATATGTAAACTCAGACGTTTGATTTGAGTAGAGAAATAAAGACTTTTATTATTATTATTATTATTATTATTATTATTTTTATTATAGTATGGCGTTCGCGAGCTCGTACAGAACTACAGAAGATTTTAATATTAAGTAAACCAAATATTTCAACACGTATGTTACTTTCAACGATCCAAAGGATACTTGCTCAAATATTTTAAGGAGAAAACGTCAAAAACTCGGGTATAGATAAGAAATTAAAAATTGTATTCGCGTAGTTATTAATATTCAGCAAGTTTTAAAGTTTATTCTGAACTTGATAGACTCTTAGTGAATTCTTTAACTTTCGGTATAATATATAATTTATAGACCCTCCGCTCGGGAGATTCGGCGATATTTCCCTCTGTGATGATATTTTCCTCGGGGCAAAGCCCCTCGGAAAATATCATCACTTCGGGAAATATTACGCCGAATCTTCCTCGCTCCGGGTCTATAAATGATAATTATTTCATGTTTCTCAACCGGCATATGCATTTAGAAAGGCAGCTAACTGTATAAACTAGAGAATATAGCTAAAACAAAGCAATTTTGACAGGTACGCCAAAAAGATTTTCGGTTTTGAACACTTTCATCGCAAATACGTGACATAAAAAAATGCCGCTTAACTATAAGGAAAAACTACCTACATTTGGGAGATAGTATTTTAGCTGGGATTTAAGCAAAACATAGGGCGGCCATCTTGGATTTTAAAAACAGTGTTTTTGCTTGTAACGAGAGAACTACTTAGTCTTAGAAGACAAGCAACATATCCAAAATTAGCCCTAAGTGCAAGGAATCTTCCTAGCTAACCTAACTTACTGTAACGTTAAATATAGTTTTCAATAAAAGTAAAAAATGTATTTGAATTCGATCGAGATAAATATGATTGATTTCACTTCCAGTTTTTGTTATTCCTTTATACATTGGAAAATTATCAACGAGACAAAGCAAAAAGCATATTGGTAGTTCCAACAGGTTGTCATGCATCAACCGACATGATTTTCAACAAAGCCAATTGTGTTGTCTTGTCGATCATTCGATAATTAGTTATCAACAATAAAGAAAAATACTAACATAAATAAGTCATCTGCACATACATCCCCCCCCTCCCGTGGAACATATAATCAATGAGAAAAAAAAGCACATTGATAGTTACGGCAGGTTGTCACGCATCAACCGACATGGTGTTCAACAAAGCTAATTGTCTTGTCCATCATTCGATAATTAATTATTGTCAAAAATAACGTAATTATTAACATAAATACGTCATTTCCATATACAATTCCCCCGCGTTCAACACAATTTTAACAAAAAATATATATAAAATATGATCACACATACCTGACGTTGAAGATAAAAACAAGAGCAATAACCAAAATACCGAACAGAAGGAGTAAAAACCAGGAAAACCAGGAGAAAGTAGAGTGGATTGTCTCAGGGCAAGGTACAATCGAACCGTCGCCGAATAAATTAAAATAATTACATAAATTACCATATTAATGAAAAGGCATTAAGCCATAACTTTGGTGCGTTAAGGGCGTTTTGCTTCAAACTTGGTACGTGTGTGGGGGCAAACTGCAACATTCGAAAACTAGCTTTTAATAGTGGCAAATAGTCAAGTTCATTGCGTAGATTAGTTTTGTTTGATATATCTTTAAGATAAAATAGGTTCTTCATGGTGAAAAAGCGTACAGAAAAGTAAAAATATGGCGTTTTTGGCCACGTTTTTCTCTGAGCTGGAATGAGTTCTGTAAATTATTTCTGCTTTTTCTGGAACTCCTCTTCCATGACTATCTGTGTGCAAAATTATTTTGGAAAATATTGACGTTGCTGATCCATATTGCATTTTGACTCTCACCTGAAACTGTATACAATACATGAATGCAACAAAACAACAAAAAATGTCCAATGAAAACGCAAAACACTTTCATAACTTGAATAGTTCAAAATCATTTCAATGTTTGAAGTTTCATCATCTTGCAAAATTTATTACATACATGTTTGTCTACAAAACGCCTTGTCACAGGACAGCCAACTTTTGGTTTTAGAGGAGCCAAATTATGGAACTCATTGTTATCAGAGATCAAATCAGAGAAATCACTTCAATCTTTTAAACATAAACTATATAAATGATGATAAGAATGCCATACGCAATCTTTTACCTAGTAAGTTAAATCGACCTTTACGACGGAGAGGTCATGACTTTGAACTACCAATTGTTAAAACTGAGAGGTTCAAAAACGCGTTTATAAATAGATGTCTTTTCAATTTTATATAAACTATATATCTATATTCTTATACCTTAGAATTTTAAAGTGCTAAAAATTGATGTAAATAACAGTAAGAATCAAATTTTTTATTCTTAATATGTAAACTCAGACGTTTGATTTGAGTAGAGAAATAAAGACTTTTATTATTATTATTATTATTATTATATAAACAATTACTCAGTGTATATGAGTAATTCTAGATGAGTATATAACTTTCTTATTAATCATATTGTAATATATTTTCTAAATTGTATCACTGAAAAGCCATTTTTAGGGAGTGGTACTTATTAAAGTTTATGAGTTTATGCTTATAGTTGAAAGGTTGCCAGCACAAAAATATACCTCGTGTGATGTGTCGTTTGTCTCCATAAGGTCTGTAGTCACAATTTCAGCGTCATACAGTTTATACCCTGAACCTTGAATATCTAAGACCATCAATCTCTTCTCAGAATACATATAGGTGATATGAACTAGGCACTGTGCTTTCCGGAGGGTCTCATCAGATTCTATGTCATCAGGTTCCTATATGTCTCCATCATTGTTCATGTACCTAGAGAAGACACCTGGTACATATTCTTCAACAGTAACAGGACATTCATTTCACTGCCAATAAAACACTTTGCCATACTGGAAAGTTTCTACAAACTCTTCTGGGACTTTAGCAGAAAAACGTGCCTTCAAATTTCGTGCAATATGATGCATTTGTACCTGCTTTCTTGTGTGGTCTCCCACGGCTGTGTAGCGTAGTGATAAAAATACTTACGCTGTGTATTCTTTAACTATACAGTCACGGTGGCCGTAAGAGACACGAAATTCGGCAAGGGTCGACTAACTTTCTGTCGTTTGTTCTGAATATCACGAAACTTCCTCACAGGATGGAACTTGACATTCCTAAAAATCGTATGTTTTTTGTTTTTCGATATTGTTACATTTTGGCGG